TCAGTTTAATCCCTGTATTCCTTATGGGATAGCGGTTTGAAAACTTATAAAACTTGGAGTTTGTTTATCCATTCCCCTGAGGCATTGCTTGATACTTGATGGAGGTAAGGTTTTATAGTCTTAATAGTTTTTAAATTATATTCGCCATTTCATGTTTCAGTCTATTTAAACATGTTAAAAGTTTAAAGAATAGATAAAACTTTTTAAATCTAAAATATCTTATTTGTTTTAGATTTTGTTTCTTTTAGGAGATACAATTTCTAATACAGGAACCAGTCTGTTTAACCATGTTAAAAATAACATGGATAGTAAAAAACTTCTAAAATAACTTATTTGTCTTAGATTTTATATCCTTAAATGGGACTTTTTTTTTGTAAAAAGTGTTGGTAAATATTAATACTATGATCAAAGTTAACATTCCTAGAATTGGTACACTACAGGTTTATTATATTATCTAACAAAGTTTACGTGATTGAGAACCTTGAACGGTCCTCTTGTCTTATTACATAACAAAAATCTGTCGTTTGGGTTTTTGGCTGAATAAGCGCTAATTGAAAAGACTACATAATTAATTATTCTTTACATAAGAAAACTTAAGACTATGTAAAGCTGTTACCTTATCTATTATTTATCAAAAGTATTATCTTGAAACAAATTGCCGTCTTTGAGAAAATATACTGACACTTAGTTGTTATTTATTACACAAAAAGCCTTGTAAAGAAATATCGTTACATGTTAATAAAATTGAGACATTTCTTTACACAATTTTTGATTAAATAATTGACTTTATTCATTTCACATAAAATTTAGATATAAATTTTATAAATAAGTTAATAAGAAGTGATGTCCACTTTTGCCCGGTCACAACACACTCGAAAAAAACACGGACTGCTCTCGAAAAAATACGGACATATAAAAATGAATTTACTATCCAATGGTATATGTATAGAAATGGCTTTAATCTATATTTTGGAATAAAGCTTTGTAAGGCTAAATTAAACGTTTTTAAAACAAAATAATGTAGGGTTAAAATTATCTTTTTATCACAAATATTAATTCAACTTCTATGCTCTTGTATATAAGGTTCTAGCCTCTTTTTGTACGACTTACCAGGAAGGAAGTCTGTTTGTTTACATTTTGATGATATTCACTCGAAAAAACATGGTCACGATAAAAAAAAAACAGATCAAATCACTCGAAAAACACGATCCCAGCCTTACACTATATCTACTGTGGTTCTCATCAATTAAACATTTTAAAGATTAATCAATCTTAGCATTATCTGAGAGATATGTTAAGTCATTTGTCTTGAAATATTAAACTGAGGACAGGAGACTCTAACTTATTAAAGCATAACCAACAGTGCTAAAACCATTTTTAGACGCGGTGTGTGTGTATAAGTATGATAACCTAACGAGTCTCCTAATAATCTTGCATTTTGTTATACGTAGCCCTGAGGGTAAGCAGAGATCAAAAATATTTTTACCATGTGTATTCAAAGAGGGGCAAATTATACCAAAGGGACATGCAAACTCATAAGTCGAAAATAAATGGACAACGCCATGGCTTAAAAAGAAAAAGACCAACAGGTGAACAACAGTACACAAAACACAACATAGAAAACTAAAGACTGAGCAACACGAACCCCATCAAAAATGGGAGTGATCTCATCTGCTCCTGAAGGGTAAGCAGATCCTGCTCAATATTTCTTGGTAAATTCATTTGTTTTCTATATCAATTGCATAGTCTGAAGGTAGCAAATCCAAACCAAATAGATAATTTTCTGTGAAGAATCATTTTTGATACAGTCTTGTAATTCTCCTGTTCCGGAGTTTAAATCTCTAATAACCAATATTTTTAGCTCTACTAGATAGTGTGCTGTACTCATGATAGCATAATAAAATCATATTCAAAATGTGTAGATGAAAATGAAGGAATATAAGAAGCACATATATAAAAGTCATCTGATAATAATATAATTGTTTGATATACGAATTGCATTAAGCCGGAAATGCGGCTTACTCTTCCAAAGGCACAGGAGTTTATCCCTATATATTTTTTGAATGGGTTCAAGCGTGCTATTGTTTTTGCTCTATTTAGTGTGTGGTATATTTCAGCAAATTTTATTTGTTCCATATCCATGTAGTTTTGCGACCTTGTCTAAACAATATCGATAATTTAGCGCTCGACTAGGTATCAGAGATACTTAAAATTTATTTGTACCGACGGTTAATGAATTTGGATGTGTCTTAGCTAGGGCTAGACAAGAAAACTTACATTGCACAAGGTCATGATTTTCTCTGACTGTTTAGGACACGTCTTTACACTAAATCCATTGGATGTTGGATGTGTACTGTGTTTTTACTTTGCTGGCTGTTTGTACATATATTGAAAGTGTGCATGTGGTTAGGGTTTTGATTTTTATTAATATTTGCTCTTTTGGAAGATAATTGAACTTTATCATTTTTTGGAGTATTTACTTGAATAAGAGGTGCATTATGCATAGCGTTTACGGTTAACTCCTCCTACAGTTTGAATGCTAGGAATTTTTCACTTTGCTGGCTGTTTGTACATATATTGAAGGTGTTCATGTGGTCAGGTTAGATTTTTATTGATATTTGCTCTTTTGGGAGATAGTTGAACTTTGTCATTTTTGGAGTATACACTTGCATAAGAGGTGCATAGCTTCTCCGGATAACTCCTCCTACAGTGAACCATAGACCTATGTGCTCCTATGCTCAACTTTGTGTATTTAAGGAATGACTGTAATATTTTTTCTGTCTATGAAGAAATAACATCAAAAATGAGGTGCACACTGAATAAACCGCGTAGTGTATATTTCGAATAGACAGAAAAAATATTACAGTCATTCCTTATAATTTAATTCTAAAAAGGCGTAAATCATGATAAAAACGTTGATGACGTCACGGTCACATGACAAAATTATGTCTATAAGCGGATAGACAAAACACTTTCAGCCAATCAGAAGACGCGTTACATCCAAAATTAAATTATTTAAAAATAACACTTTGCATCAGCGGGGGCATCATTTGTGTCTCCTAGACACAATAACTCAAAGAAAGTCCTACATTGACTTTGTTATAATTCAGTTACTTCAGAGTGGAGTGCGGAGGCATCACTTTGTCTAGTTTTATTAGTTGTTATTGGCTTTGAACTAGCTGTCAGTAACTGCGAGTACTCTCAGATCTGTACTTAGTGTCGTTTTGTTGTGGGGATGTATAAGTACCCTGCCACGTCCACTCTGTGTTACTTGTTTTTGCTTTGTATCCATCTGATGAGTAAACCCTTTTCAACTGATTTTTATAGCTTGTTCATATGTTGTACTGTTACACCACTGTCCCGGGTGAGGGAGAGGGTTCTGTGCCCGCTAACATGTTTAATCCCGCCACATTTTTTTTTGTGTCTGTTCCAAGTCAGTAGCCTGTAATTCAGTGGTTGTTTTTTGTTTCTGTATATCATATTTGTTATTCGTTTATTGTTTTGTATAGTTTGTTCTTGTGTTGTGCTGTTGCACCACTGTCCAAGGTAAGTGGAGGGTTTTGCGCCCGTCAAACATGTTTTACCTCGCCACATTCTGTATGTGCCTGTCTCAAATAAGGAGCCTGTAATTCAGTGGTTGTCGTTTGTTGATGTATATCATATTTGTTTTTCGTTCATTATTTTGTACATAGATCAGGCCTTTAGTTTTATCGTTTGAATAGCTTTACATTTGTCATTTCGGGGACTTTTATAGCTGACTATGCGGTATGGACTTTGCTCTTTGTTGAAGGCCGTACGGTGACCTATAGTTTCAGTGTCATTTGGTCCATGTGGAGAGTTGTCTCATTGGCAATCATACCGCATCTTCTTATTTTTATATATACGCTATCATTTGTTTCATGACGTCTTAAAATACAGGATGTTGACTCACCAAATGGCTAGTTTACGACAAGATTTACATAATGGGTGTCTCTAGTGGATTAGGAACTGCTGATCCCTAAGGAACATATATTCAATCTCTGTTTTTTGTGGGGTTCAGGTTGCTCAATTCTTATTTTCCTGACTGCTGTATATTTAAGTCTCCCAAACGAAGTTTGGGAAGACTTTTTGTTTTTGCTCAGTTCTTCTTATTATTATTATTATTATTCCCTCTTCCCTCTTCCTCTTCCGCCACTTTTTTAAATGAACTTGTCCGCACCCGTTCTCCAAAACCGCTAGTCAGATTTACTTAAGGTTTCACAATATGTTAGACTAACATGTCTAGTGGTGCAATCAGGGTTTCGTTTGTGCATTGGGGTCTAAAATGGGGTACTTTGAGGGGCCAAAAGAAGGGAGGGGTTTACTATAGAACCCTATGGGATTTTAATTTTTTTAATTTTCAAATGATTATAACTTGAAAACACATTTACCTAAATAAAAGGTTATAGTTTTCATTTTTATACTTTTTTGTAACTTTCAGTTAATATTATTTTAACGCAAAATTACCCGTTCTTATCAACCAACCGGCCTTTTCCGTGTCAATTGAAAGGATCATCCCTTTCTTTCTTCATTTGTCGGACCATTGGTGTGTCGGACTATTTTTTCGTTTGATAAGTTTTTTGTATAGAATCTTGTAATAAGCTTAAGTCCGAAATCCTTGAAAAGCGAAGCTGCTGTGATTATAGTTAATTTCACATTACAAGCAAGCAAAGTAGCCATATTTTACAGACGTAGATGAATTTTGGGCCTTTCGTCTTAAGTTTCTGGCAAGAACAAACTGCTACTTTATTCTGCATGAAATTGAAAGATTGAGTGATACATGTCAAACATGTTGAATTGAAAAATCTGTCTTGCATGAATTGTTGGAATGACAGGCATACAGTGATATTCTGAACGTTTCTTTTCTGATTTGCACAAATTTCTTTTTAATGCAGGAACTGGTATATTTGTTCAGAGTTGCATGATTATGTATTTATAGTATACTGCCTGCACAGTGTTGAACATTTTCATATTCATTTTAGGTCACAGACTCCGTGAAATGGAAATTACGGTTGGTCCCACTTTACGATCCATGGTGCTATGCAAGAGATACAAAGGCCCGGCTAAGGATGGACAGCACTTAATTGTGAATTGCTTCTACCCTATAAGAGGACAGTATGTCAAGATTGCCTTAAGACTCAAGGGATACTTCCATTTACGTGAAGTTAAGGTGGTTGCGAAAAGTAGGAACTGTTGAATTAACTTATTAAAGATTAAATCTGCTCTTTTTTGTTTTTGGTTTTATAAGGGAATGCATATATCATTCAGTAAGGTCTAGATCACTAAGCTGCTGATAGAGCACCTGCTGATATAGCACCATCAGCTGGCAATGTGGCTACTTTTTGGTAAATTTGATTTGCCTCCCTTTGCACAGAATCTTAAGTTTTCAGAGAAAAATTAAAATTTTGAATTGCTAATAAGAAACATTGACGAGATGTGCGCTTCCACGACCATCTTTAATTTACACCTACATCCACAAATGTATTTTTCTCCAAAAGATCTAATATACAACTCTTTTCTTCCCGTTTTTAACCTAATTTGAATTGTTTTGTCAGGATTTATTTGAATTAATATTTTGAAAATGTAATTATTTTTCATTGGCTTTGTAGTATCTCTTTTAGATTTAACTATTATGTAAACTATAAACTAAAAGACTAAAATGTACATTTAGTTCTAAATATTTTTGTGTTACTAGACAAATAATGATGCCTGCCATATACATGAATGAAGGTCTGGATGGGTGTTCATATAACACAGAATAATGGACAAAGACTACAGAATGGACAAAAAAATGAACAAAAAATGATATGATAAAAAAAGAGAATAATGGGGTGCTAAAATATAACGAATAGAAAAAAATGGGGAGCGGTTGTTTTTCATTTGAATTTATTGTCAAAAAAGAAATGCACAACGAAATAACTGTGGTCTCGCGCCAGTTAACTACAATTTTTTTTTAGAATTCTTCGCATGCACTACTTACTTCTCATCCCGTAATTATGATCCAAATTCAAAGCTTTGACTTTCGGCCTCTTGTACTTATCTACTTTCAAACTATATTATATCATGATTTTAAGAAACGGTAAAATAACAAAAAACCTCTCCACACTTCGAATACCCATGTGCTTAAAAATCGCGTTCATAATATAAATTCCACTGCCGCTAATCGAAATTTACCTTCAAAATATAACACATGACGCAATCATGACAATTGTGTTAAAGGAGGCAATGCCTCTGCAGCTAGATTTTTGAACAAAAACGCACGTGGATATCAACAAATATTCCCGTGCAACGCCAGAAAATGACAAAACTGCTCCAGATTATCTTCAGATAATACTGTTCAGTCATCAGTGAACGGAAGAACCTTTCCTCTCTCCTTTTCGTGTGACATTACTTGAAAAACCCAAAACCTCGTATATCTTGTAACATGAACAAAACCGAAATGTCGTATTCAATATGTAGGGCAAACTGGACGTGAATTTTTTAAACGAACACACGAACATCTATACCGCTTCCGCAGACCTAAGAAATTCAAAAATTTAGTTTACCAACATTTGGAAAATAACATACACAATATTAAATTTGTAAAATTCCAACCACTTCAAACCGTCCAGAAACAACCAGGATGTCAGTATAGCAAATAATGCTCCTTCGACATGAGACTATGAAACATCGAAGTTTAGCTATGATCCCTATGACCTTGTACTTACAGGGGACCTCAAAATCGTTCAAGACCGAGAGGTAAACTTTCTGAAAAAAAAAGACCAAATATCGTCCACCGTCGAAAATAATTGGGAAGAGTGTCGTTAGGTTATCAAAGATGTTCTTTCATCCTATTGTAAAAAGTGGTGTAAACGAGAGAAATCTGACAAAAAGTCACTTGATTCCTTTTCAAATAAATAGAAATAAGAAGATGTGGTATGAGTGCCAATGAGACAACTCTCCATCTAAGTCACAATGTGTAAAAATAAACCATTATAGGTCAAAGTACGGCCTTCAACACGGAGCCGTGGCTCACACCGAACAGCAACATATAAAGGGTCCCAAAATGACTAGTTTAAAATGTCTGGATATTGTTGATATTCGCATATCACATTTCGAAAATAATTTAGAAATAAATAAAAGAACAATACGCCCATGTCTTGGTGGTGGTATGTCGTAAATACTATACGGAAGTTCTTAAGAATGAAATTATACATTCAACTGCATTCAAGGCCGTACGCTCCACAGAGAGTCATATAGTAAATAATCATGTCACTACCACAGCTCAGCTTAAGGCCTCCTCTGAACAGTTGAAGGTCCTCACTATGTATTAGTTACCTAAACTATCCGTCAAATATGGTTTCATCTCCGCCTCCAGTAAGTGTTCTACTACTAATCTGTCAGTGCTTTTAACGAGTTCCTTAACTACTAACAAAGAAATTATCATTAATTTTTGGAATAAAACATATGAAAAGAGTGGAACTATAACCATTTTTGGAGTGTAAAAAATTCTTTGGATGTTTTAGATAAATTACGTGCTTTTGATGGTCATTTTGATTTCGTTGACAGTGTTGACTTTTCAACTCTTTATACTACACTTCCACACATTCTTATCAAACAAAAGTTTTCCTATATAATTAAATATTCGTTTGATAAATCTGTTCGCAAATTTATTTGCTGTAACTCATATAAAGCCTTTTTTCTCAAATGAGACTGGAGGTGTGATGAGATGATGAAACAATAAATTTTCTCCTTGACAACATTTATGTACGTTTCGGCAATAAAGTTTATCGACAGATTGTATGTATTCCCATGGGCACCTATTGTTCCCCTTTAATAGCAGACTTGTTCCTATACTGTTATGAATCACAGTTTATGGCCAAACTCAGTAAAGACCCGTCTAAATTCCATTTAAGGGCATCCGATACCGCTTCTCGATATAATGTCATTTTTAAAATTTTGAAATATGTTGTAGGCCTTGGCAAGTTATAAAAATAAACACCAAATAAAAGATAGATCACCGTGCTTGTTTTCGAGAAAATTGAGGCTGAAAGTTGAGGATTTGTGCAATTTTGTAAAAAAGTTAGGCAATGTTATAAAAATTTTGGAGTAGATATTCTTCGTCGTAAATTAATAAGATTGGGTTAAATCTGAAGCTGTGATAAGTGACCATAAGGAACAAATAAGTCCCTACAAGAATGACTATATAATTATTCAAGCCTTGCTTGACATTGCAGACAAGATGCTCAAAGTGTCATATTTTTTAACCTAAAAATATGGAAATCGAGTGGTTCTGAAAATATCATTTTTCTCATTTTTCTACATTAACTGCATTTTGTCATGCTTTCTCCAAATCTCAAATAATAAATATATGTCACCGTGTTGGATTCGAAGATAAATCGCGATTTATCCTAAAAATTGCGTTCCACCATGGTAACCTCAACGTTAGCGCGAAAACGCACGACGTCGCTGGCAGACAATTTTGACGTCTCCCGCCAATTATCTGCAAGTTATCGGCGACATTTTTCAGATGTATAAATATTGCTTATATAAGGCTACCCATAAATCGGTAATATTGTTTTCGGAAAAAAAATCATGTGTATCATAAATACCTCTATTCTATCGTTTGTGATCAAAGTGAGAAACATCTCAAGCATAGTTATTGCGGACTGTTGATTTTTTTTTTAACGGCTTAATTTAAAAACTCACGACAATTTAGAACTTGACATGCAGATACCGTACACACTCGTGTATTAATTTAGACCATATGTTGACACCTAGGTGGTTTTTTGTTTGTGTTAGTTGGTGGGCTGTTGTTTAATTAACATACCCCTATAGAAATAGATGGTAGTTGTACTATAAAAACAGAACAGTTCTGAAAAAATGTTTGTTATTTGAATGAATAACTAAGAACTCCAAACAATGTTTTTTTCAATTACTTATTTTCGTAATATCCAGTTATTTTTTTTTTATGACGGCCGCTGTTTTCGTAACACTAGGTGAACCGTCCTGTCTTCTTTGAGACAACAAATCAAGTAAACCCTGAAAGCCTTTTCTATTAAACGCTAGATCCAGATGACATTTTTTAAGACCGGATTGGGTACATCTTACAGCAATCTAAGTGATCAGACATATATTTTCCCTTAACAAGATCTCCAAAACTCTCAGCATCATCTTTTTACAATTTTATCATATTTCATGTTTTCAGCAATCGATTCAACGCTAAAAGAAAATTCAAGTATATCTTGCTTCTCTACTTTGAAAAAAGTCATTAACTTATAAAAGGAATCGACATCATCAACGGCATTATGCGCATTGTACTGTTCATTACAAAAATGTTCAAATAATTTTTGCTGACTGTAGCCTGGAAATTTTTGCCGAAAAAGCGGAAGCGTGTCTGCGAATACAGAAACACATTTCCCGAAAGCTGCATAGCAGGTTAATTCGGACATGTTATTAATCAAACGCCTTGCATCAAATAATTTGCAATTATGTGCGACAAGCATGACCTGACCGTATTGTTCTAACCAGAGTACAAAACTCTGGAAAGCTGCTTCAGAAGTGACTGCATGAATAGGTTTTCCATTGTAAAAAAGGACATTTCCATTTGCTGTTAAACCAGTTACGGCACTGGAACTCGCCGCTATTGATTTATTTGGCTGAATATAAGTATCAAACGTATCACCAGAGACTGTGTTTAGTGCAGCTATTTGCAGAATTTCGGAATCTAATTTCAGCGAAGATGTTTCCAGGTCAAAAAGTATGCAATTACCAATAAAAGATGAAAAGGACAATAGTGCAGGTTTCTGTTTGATTCCTGGAATCTCTTTATCTTCAGTTACTAAACTAAGAGACAATCCCGATTTATATATATTTAACACCCTCTTTTTTTCTGTCTGTATTAATTTATTTCTAAATTTCTTCTTTTGTAAACGCCTCTTTTTTACAACTGGTTGATGGGAGTACTTCCGTTTCCGTTTTCTCTCGTTTGACACGTTTTCAGAATGGTTATTAGTGATTTCATCAGTTAATAGGTTAGCTTGTGTATTTATGCATGAAATATAAGAATATCCTATGTTTTTTCTAGCACTGCAGCACTCACCCGTGTTTTCAGATTTTCACTTTTACCGAAACAAAACCGTTTTGGTGCTTTTGATGCATAAATATTATTTGTAGATTCAACATCCTTAGTTTGTGGATCCAGCCGGTGTTAGCTGTTCAGCATTGTTAGCTACCTTGTCAA